CCTGTAGGTTGAATATGAGAGACAAAGGGATCCTCTCATGCCACCATGATGATGACATCTCTCTCTACATATCTTAGAATTAGTTTGTCTAGTTTCCCCTTCAGAAAATTCTTGCTGGGTTTTTAGCTGAGATGGCACTCAATTTATAGATAAATTTGGGAGATATTGAAATTTTTATAGTGTTAAATCATCTTATCCATAAATGCGATTTATCTCTCCATGTACTCAGATCATCAAGTCTTTTAAATTTAGGCTTTATTGTAAAATATTTAAGATGCATTAATGTACAGATTATAATATAACAAATACTTGTTAACACACTATCCATACCTATCAAATCCTAACATTTTATAAGGTTTGTTTCCAGAGATGATATTCAAAATACTTAACAACTTGTATGGTATGGACACCAACTAATGAGAAAGATCCCTGGCTACCAGTTTCTACCAGCTCAATGTCTACCAAGCTGTGCTTGATTTATATATGTTTTAAATACATATAATATTTTAGATAGAGTTAAAGATACTTGTATACCTTTTTCCAAATCCCATTGCCATTTCCCTCCCTGTGCATATTTTATACTATTACTATATATGTATGTATCCATAAATAATGTATAGTGCAGTTTTGCATGTTTTCAAACTTCATATCAGTGGTATGCTACATAACATATCAGTAGGTAAATATCCATTTTGATACATATTTTAACTGTTGTATAGTATCCCATTGAATGAATATGCCACAATTTACTTATCAAGTTGCCTGTTTCTTTTTTTTTAATTTGGGGTAATCTTCTAATTCTCATCTATTACAAACAATGTGGCAATAAACATTCATTTTCATGGATCCTTAGGAATTCATGTTGCTCTTGGATACTACCTAGTAGTGGAACTTTGGATTATAGGTTATGTTCATCTTTAATTTTACTAGATAATGTAGTGGGACAAATGTGTACCCCCACAAATACTGAATGATTGTGCCTATATTCTAATACTCTCCCCAACACTATGCGTTATCAATATTGCATTTTTTTAGATTTTTAGTTTTTTTTAGTAATTTGATAGAGAAAAGTGGTATCTTACATTAGGTTGAATTTCCTTAATTATATGCTAACTGGTTTTCATTCTGGCCAGCCTCAAACTCAGCCTATTCCTTTTTCATAGAAACTTTTTTGAGGATCCATAAATGTAGCCAATATACCCTCTACTTTATAATTTTCTAACATGTTTCATCTGCTGCAGTCTCTACCTGTAACAACGTGGTACCAACTTCTGTATAGATATGCTTTTGGATGCATATAAGAGAAAATCCAACCCCAACTGACTTAAACGGGGAGGGGGGCTTGTATAATGTATTAGGAAAGTTCAAGGATAGCACTGGATTTAGGCATGGTTTAATGCAGAAACTCAAAAAATGACAATGGGAGAAAAATGAAATAAATGGAGGAGAGAGGGAATAAATAGCAGAAGAAGAAAAGTAGAAGAGATAATGTAGTATTTCATACCAATGCCTACTCTGTGAAGCAGGAAGAGTTGTGGCATGTTGGAGATGAACTAGCTATGTGTGATGGAGCCCCAAGGAGCTCACAATACAGCAGGTAGGACTGAGAGTAAACCTGTAAACAGAGAGCTCCCACTCAGTTTGTTAAGTGCACTGACAGAGCCATGCAAAGGAGTAAGGGGGAAGGAAAGACTAATTAAACTTGGAGAGATCTGAGATGGTTTCTTGGAGAAAGCAGCACTTGAACAGGTCCTTTTAGGAAGGCAGGCCTTTTACAATCAGGAAGGGGGGATGGAAGTGGGGAACAAAGACACCCCAGGTAGAGGAACAGCTTGAACAAAGGTACAGCATTGGCAGAAGGCAGAACATGCTTAGGGGATGATGAGTCATCCACTGTGACTGAGGCCTGAGAAATTGGCAAGGGCTGGTCATGGAGGGCCTTGAATGACAGGCTAAGGAGCTTGGATTTAAACCTGCAGGCCAAGGGGACCTTGGAGGCTATAGGAATGGTCAGCTTTGTGCTTTGAAATATAACTCTGAGGGCCTCTGTGAGAATGGACTGGAGTGGAGCAGATGGGAAGCAGGCTCATTAGAGCAGAGACCCATCCACCACTGTCCCATGTGCCCCTACACTCAGCAGAGGCTCCCCAGAGCCTGCAGTCCTCCACGAGAACTGTTCCTTCTCCTCTTCTCTTCTGCCAATGTCCTACTCCTCCCATAGGACCCAGCTCAAACATACCCTATCTGGAAGCTTTCACTGCCTTCCAGTTGGTGATTTCCTCTATGAGCCCTCTCAGCACCCTGCTCTGGGATTCCTAGGTGACATAAGGTATTCTTACGCATCCCAGCCAGATGGAGAACTCTTCAAGGACAGGGTGTGACTCTCACCCATTTTTGCACCTCCAATGCCTAGCATGGATTTTGGCACATGGAAAACCATTGGGAAACTCTTCATCAGTGAATTAGAGAAAGAGAAAGTACATGAAGGGAAAGAGGAAATGGGAGAAAGAGAAGAGAAGACTTGGAGAGAGGGAGGGAAGGGGGCAGATAGATAGGGTGTTGGGATGAAGAGAAAGGAGGGGAAGAGAATGTAGAGTACAGGGAGGGGAAGAGAATGTAGAGTACAGGGCCAATGTGGGATTCTTTTCTCTTCCCATCAGTAGAGCCAAGAATCAGACCTGGCACAGTGAGTGTCAGGCTTTGGAATCAACCAGATGTGGGTTTATATCCTGGTTCCGTCACTTACTGGCTATGTACCTTTACACAAGGCACTTCACCTCTTGGGCATTAATTTTGTCAACTGTGAAATGATGATAGTACTAGTTCCTCCTTCGTAGGAGTACTTAAGAACATCTTAGAACTTAAGAATAGATGTGAGTTCTTTGAGGACAGGCATCCCATCTTACTTCTCTTTCTTTGCCCAACATCCAGCAAGGGCCTTGGCACAGCTGTGTGCTCAACAAATAATTAATGATTGAGTGAATAAATGAATGCTTGAGGAGGACTGTTTTCTGCACTGGGGACCAGTGCTCCATTTCACAAGACAGAGTCTAAATACTTGCTTAGTGCACCAGTAAAGGAGAAACATGACCCCAATAAAATTTTTCAGATAAGTTGATATTCTTTAAAAGCATCAATATAGTCACCAGGGGATAAATAAAAACCTTTAGTAGACTTTCTTACATTCACTGTTTTTATTCTGAATTACATATGACTTGGGGGCACCCTATCTTTTAGTGTTTAGAGCCTCCAAATGTCTTAATCTGGTCATAATTGAGAAACAGAAATGAACATAACCTAGTCCCCTGCCCCCTGAGCAGCTGCTGGGGAGACAGACCCAGAAATACACTGCAACAACACACTATGTAATTAGTGTTTGCATAGAGGGGGCAGTAGGAAGAGTTGGCCTGGGAGCTCAGAGAAGCACAGTCCTCCTCCAGGGAACAGAGGAATCAGATAGGAATGGGGATATAGGGTGGCGGATAGAAAAATCAAATGGAGAATAGAAGAGTGATTGCTCAATAAGGGGTAGTAAGCAGAAAAGAGACCACATTGAGGAGAATGGAAAGTTGGAAGTAGGAAGCTAGGGAGGAGGTTGACAGGCAGGGAAGGAGACCCTTCTGTAGGCGGAAAGGGGCAGGACCACTTCCGGCCGGGGAGGGGGAGCGGACAGACTCAGACCTAAGGAAAGGTTTGAAGAGAGCGGAAGCCTTCTCGAATTGGGAGGACGAGGTGACCTAAGGTGCCCAGCTTTAGAGAAGACCCTGTGGGGGACCCCGGGCTGCAGCTTCAACGTGCTTGACTCCACAGGCCCCTAAGGTTTGAAGAAAACCTGCTAGGGTTTTGGGAGCTAAGCACATGGAAGTGGTCGAGTTTAGAGGTGCCTGGACCCCGTTCGCTGGGGAGAAAAGATGGGGCAGAATCCCCTTCAGACCACAAAAGTGAGAGAACTGGACTCGGTTCGGGCCGCAGAAAGGAAGGATGTAGACCTGGTTGGAACTCCAGAAAGCAGAGATCGAGAAATTCAGGCGCTAGAAAGAAAGGAGTAGGATAGAGCTCCAGCGGGAGATAGGCGATGGCAGGACTCCGTCAGGACCCGGTTTGGGCCACAGAAAGTAGGGATCAGGACCCGGAGAAGGAAAGGGGCAGAATCCCTTTTGAACAGCTGAAATGTCCTGGCTCAGACTGGAGAAAAGAGGGGCTAAGACCCGTTTGATTCCGGTTTGAAAAGGGAAGGGACAGAACCAGGTAGGGTTCGGGAACAAGGAATACACAAAAGCGTAATACCATTGGATTTGTGGGTGGGGTATCCATGTTGCAGAAAGGGCGGGACCGGTCACTTGCAGACGTGGAAGTGGGGGAGCGGTGTTGGGGAAGGGGCGGTGCAGGGACTTACTGCAAAGCGGAGGGAGGGGGCGTATGTGTAAGGAGCAGTGCGTGGCTGTACTGCAGAGAAGTGGGCGGTGTTGGGGAAGGGGCGGTGCGAAGAGGTACCGCAGAGTGGAGGGAGGGGCCCGGTGTTGGGGGAAGGGTTAGACCAAGATGTGATGCAGTTAGAGTGGGTCAGGGGTGGGGACAGGATGTTCTGCTGTTTTGAGAGCAGAGTTCGTATGTGGGATTGAGGTGGTCAGACTGTGCGGTCCACCAAAGTGCATGCGCGCTGAGTGCCTGAGATGGCCGCCCACCCCCGCTCAACCCCAACGTTGGTGCCCATGTGCACTATCAAGTTGCTGTTGGGGGCGTGTGTAGGGTAAAGGGGCAGGGTCCTACAACTGACTTGTGGTTTCTTGGAGGGGAAAGAAGCTAGAGTTTGGAAACCAGATTGTCTGGGTTTCTAGGTGTGAGAACCCAGTAGTTAAAGAGTTTGAGGCCCACGGTTAGATGAGATCCCCCCTCTTCAGGATAGGCAGGAGGTCTGATGAATCTCCTCTTCCCTATCATTCTCCCCCACCTCAGGCCCCTTCCTCTCAGGCTTAGCTGTTACCTGGCCTCCCGGAAAAATGGATAGGAGAAATGACTACGGTTGTAGGATGCCCCGGTTCCAGGTGAGGCCTCTCTGCATTCTTGCCAGGCCATCTACCCTGTCCTGAGTTCACTTACTACTCTCGAGCCGCCTACCACTCTGTAGTTGGGTAGTTCCCTGCATAACCTGTCTCAATTTTCCCCTGCATCGTGGAGGAGGAGGAGAGGAAAATCTGCCTGACTCTATCTCCTGCCCCCTACCTCTTCCCTCACCCTCCCCTTCTATCAATCACTGCTCAGAGGAAGGGGAGGCTTTCTGAAAAGGGTGGGCTGTAGGGAGGTCAAATGGCTCAGCAGATCATAATCCTAAGTGTGTTCCGCCTGGGAGCCTGGGGCTTCACTTCCCTTCGAATGTACAGGCTGAAACTGCAGAAGAGGACAGTGTCTTGCTGATGCATACCCTCTCGGTGGCAACCAGGGACCCCCTGGCCACGGACCCACCAGTTGCCAACTGGCCAAAGAAAAGCAAGACCAAGAAAGACCCTATTAAGGCTATTACTAAGGCCATACCTACTGCCTCTCCAGTTCCATCTGCCAATGCGATTACCACCAATAAGCCTAAAATAACTTTACAGGCTTTAAAACTGCCGATCATCCCCCAGATCAACCAGACTTCAGCTACCACTGAGACAGCCAATACTCAGGCTTCTTCGGTTGCTGCTCAGTCTAAGAAAGCCAAAAAGACATAGAGTTACTGGTAAGGCAGCCCAAGGCTCCCAATCTCCAGCTGGCAGTGAGAGTGTCACTACACAAATCAAGTCACCCTTGCAGGCCCTAAACCTACCAGTCATCCTACATAGTATCCAAGCTCCAGTTGCTAGTGAGTCAGCTAATTCCCAGGCCTTCATAGCCTCCACCAAGCCTAAGAAAGCTTCCAAGGTTAAGAAGGTTGCCTATAAGGACATAGCTAGTGCCACTGAGATCTCACTGGCTCTAATCAACCCACACAGCTACTTCTCAAGGCCAAATTACCAATGAGCTAGCCAATACCCCGGCCACAGCAGCCTCCATACAAACTAAGAAAGCCTCCAAAGTCAAGAAAGCAGTTGTTAAGGGTGCAAAGACTGTCACTGAGCTGCTAGAGGCCCCAAATGCCACTGAGACAGCTACCAGGCAGATTGAGGCCTCAGCAGTAGCTATCCGGCCCAAAAGACTCAAGGGCAAGAAGGCTGCCAATAAGAGCCCAAATTCTGCCTATGAGATCTCTGAGGCCCCACCTACCACTCAAATGGTCACAAACCAAGCCCTAGCAGCCACCCTCTGGGTCAGGAGAGGGTCCAGGGCTTGGAAGGCTTCCACTAAGGGCCAAGCAACTGAAAGCCAGACTCAAATTGTTGACCAAGGGGCCCAGGTCAAGATGGCCATCTCTCAGACCAACATACGTGCCCTTGAGACTCAGGTTGCTGCTTCTGTCCAGGCCCTGGCAGATGACTACCTGGCTAGTTGAGTCTGGAGCCCACAACCAGGACCTGGGGTAAAAGGAACCACAAAGTGAGATCTCTGACATCACCATCCTTAACTTTGCACTTCTTTTCCATTCCTATCCTCCTAGTTTGTTCATTTGTCCTATAAAAGTTTACTGAGGCTTTTTACTCTGAGCCAGTCCCTATGTTCAGATAGGCTGTAACAGATGCTGAGAAGAACGTGATGTAGCACTCCCTGGCAGTTCACAAATGGATGGGGAAATAAGACATCCACACACTTAGCTACAACCTGGATATAATTCAACTTATATTTACATAGTAGTTACCATGAGCCAGGCTTTGTGTTGGGTACAGTCACACAGGTTATGTCTTTATGTTTTGAAAGTAACTCTTACCAGCTAGAGATCATAGGTACCAGTTTTACAGATAAGAAAACTGAGTTCCAGAGAGGTGAAGTGACTTGTCCAAGGGATACAGCTAGCAGAGTCAGTGGTGGCCAAAAGAAGAGAAGGAACCCCAGGCCCTGCCCTTGGGTTTCTTCTGTCCTGGTAGGGAAATGAAACTCCTGCCTAGAAGACAGTGAAAGACAAGTCTAGGGCTCAAGGTAGCCATTGGTACCTCCACACAGGGAGGGTTTAGGGGACTTACTTTCAGAAGGAGGCAGGGTAAGGAGACAGAGCCATCTCTTTCATCTGGTGACTCTGGACCTTCCCTCCTTCTGATGATGCAGTCCAAGCATCTGAGTGGGGATGAGAGAGGTGGCAGTAATTACAGGAGGATCCTATAGGGCTGGAGACCTCTGCCACCCCAAGATGTGGCCATTTTGCAAGACAGGATAAGAATCCAGGGCTGCCCAGTCTCTTCTCTTCTTCACCTGCCATCTTCTCTGTCATCCTTTCAAGTTTTCTGAAGTCATATTGAGATTTCCCCATGTATTCCTCTTCTCTTATGCAAATAAGTTGGTGAAATACCTGTTGGTTAAGGACCAGACAAAGATCCCCATCAAGCGCTCAGGTAGAGTCATACCAACCATCTTCCTTGAGGTTCATTCCTTTGTCCCCCATGCCCTGGGGGTAACCATTTATCTTTATGGCCTCCTTATTCTCTCTCATGTCCTCCCCTGCCCTCCTCACACTCTGCCATGGCTGGCACCTCCCATTAACACTGTTCAGGACTCAGACTGTACTGACCCCACAGGGCTGGAAAAAGGGCTGCAGCTCTGTGGCCCCTGCTCGGCCCAGATGCTCCCACCTCTCCCTTCCTGCAGACATTCTGAAGGATGTCATCCAAGAATATGATGAATATTTCCCAGAGATCATTGATTGAGCAAGCTACGCTTTGGAGAAGGTGAAGAGGCAGCCCTAGGGTATGGGCGCAATTGAGAAGCCTTGAATTGAACAAAGGTGTACATGTCCTTTCTGGGGGGACCACAGAGACTTGCTGATTCAGCCCCATCGCTGCACTGATGGGCAGATAGCGACCCAGGGAGGGGCACAGACTAGCCCGGGGTCACACAGCAAGTGAATGGTAAAAGCACAGCTTGGACCCAAGCCACCCAGCTTAGTCCTGGCTTTTGTCTGCTGCTGGATAAGTCCTGTAATGTATTTCAGATGCTCACTCCTCCCTTCCATTCCCCATTCTATGTCTCTCTAGATTCCCACTAATCACAAAGATGATGTTGATAACAATAGTACTTTTGTTACCTGTTTGCTGTGTGCTGGCCACTTAGCTAAGTGCTTTACGTGCATTATCTCAAGGATTTCACACACACACACAAATCCCTAGGTATATGGGGAACTATGGGATGCTCAGGAAGCTCATTGATGCCTAGGCTGAATTTTGTGATCTCACAGCCTATTCTTTTACTTGGCAGATGTTTCCAGTCAATCTGAAGGAAACTGATAAGCAAAGTAGCTTGTATATTCTCATCACCACTCAGGAATCCTCCGCAGGCATACTAGGAACGTAAGCTGGGAAAGGGCTGGCGTGGGAGGGAGGCTTCTGCTCTTGCCCGTGGTACTACGCCATCCTTGTCCTCTCTCCCCACATCCCCTTAGAGTTCCAGGAAAGACAGGGCCTACAAAGCTCCTGTTGCAGCTCCTGCATGTAGTTGGAGCCCTGCACACAGCAGTGGTACCTGATTATGATTGACTGAAGGGCGTAGAAACTTGGGGTGGGGCATTCCTACTGTCAGGTTTTCCGTTTCTCCAGAAGTTTCCCAGGAAAGCAGACCTGTTGTTGTTTGTCTCTTCCTGCTAGCCTTGGTAGAGTGATTCTCAAGGGAGGGCTTCTTGGTGTGGGTGGATCATGGTGCTTAAAGGGCAGGAGCATCAGTGGGGCTGTGCCTAGAATTCTCTCAGAGCTGAGGAATCTGGGAGAGAAAGAAGGGACTCACATTGACTGAGTGCCTGAGTTGTACCAGGTTGAGAGAATTCTTCCATTCTCTCAGCAACCTGGGGGGCAAAAGATGTGGTTTTCCCATTTTACTGAATAGGAGGCTGAGGCTCAAGAGTCTAAGTGCCTTGCCCAGGGTCACATAGAGCTTGAAGCATAGACTGGGCAGAATTCTCCCATATGTGAGGAATCTGGAGGGGCTAGCTTGGTGAGCTGGCTGCTGTATTTTTTGCAGATAGCTACTGGACATAAACCTTCTTTGTGTCCTATTATTCTCCTAGGACTAAGGACATACCCAAACTAGGTCTTCTCATGGTGATTCTGAGTGTCATTTTTATGAATGGTAACAAGGCCAATGAGGGTGAGTGGCTGGGCCTGCAGCTGAATGCATGGCCATGGTCTGAATTCCACGTGTTCATTTTCTGTCCCTGTCTCCTCTTGCCTCCCCTTGCAGCTGTCATCTGGAAAGTGCTGTGCAAGTTGGGGCTGCGCCCTGGGTATGATTGGCTCTCTCAGCGCTTGCTGTCCATGTTGTCCTTTGGCAAGAGAGGATGGTCCCAGGATTGCATCAGCCTGTTGGTCTGGTGGAGTGGCCGGGGTTGCTGGACTGGGTAGAGGGCCCAGGGTTCTGACTAGGTGGATGGGGAAGTGGTCCTGAACTCTCTGCTCCCTGTCTCACCTATGTACTCTGTCTGTTCTAAGCTGAGATATAAGATAGACCTTCAGGGCATCCCTGACCAAGAACCTTCTGGCCTCAACTGTCCATTGAGGCAGTTCATGTGTTCACTACTTTCTTGGCTTCGTTGAGATGGCCTCATATGCTAGAGAGGTCTCTTTCATGTTGGGGAATGCCTCTGCCCTCATCTGGGAAGTTCTGACTTTTGTTCATGGGTTATTTTTCCCATTTTCAGGGTGAGGCACTCGCTCTTTGTGGAAGTGAGGAAGCTCATCACAGACGAGTTTGTGAAGGAGAAGTAAGTGGTGTTTTGGGGCTTTGTCAGGCACTGAAGTGTTCTGGGTGTGCTGGGCTGGTTTAGAAAGTGCTTACTCAGCCCTTTTCTTATACTAGCTTTAGAGGTATGGGCATCCTGTGCCCTAGAACTGAGCCTTGTTCACAGTTCCCATGGGTGGACCATTCCAGGGCTGGACCAGACCAAACACAAGGCCCTTGCTATGGGGTGTGCTCAGAGCAGGGTGCATGAAGAATGGTTCCTCTGTTTACAACACACCCAATAGAAACTTGGGTTTACTCCTCACAGGTGGCAGGACACTTTGGCCTTCCTGTGACATCATGCTCTATACACGCCTTCCCTGTGGCACCAAGTGACTTCTTTGCACAGGGCAGTGGGGAATTGTTCAGTATTGGAGGCCAAGACCATGAACTGTGTTTGGGAGTGAGTCTGGGGAAAGAAGATCTGGGAAATCTTTCTCCAGGAGCTGAGTTTAATATTTGTTTGGAGGAGGTTGCCACCTGGTGCCCAGTGGTTAGACAACGGGTTTGCTTGGTTGGAAGCAAGTTTCATTTCCTTTCTCCAAGGTACGTGGAGTACAAGAGGGTCCCCAACAGCAGACCACCTGAATATGAGTTCTTCTGGGGCTTGCGCTCCTACCATGAGACTAGCAAGATGAAAGTCCTGAAGTTTGCATGCAAGGTAATTGGAGAGCTGCCCTGACTTGGCATATTAAGGATACGGGATGCCCCTGGCTGGGGCAGGCTATGTGCTGGGATGGTCAGGTACAGAGCAGCCTGCACTTCATATATAAACATATGGGACTTCATTTATGTTCCAGAATCCTGCTGGACATAAAGTTTACGTTGTTTCATTCATTCTTTATACTTAGTCTGCTCAGATTGCCATAACAAAATACCATAGACTGGGTGGCGTAAACAATAGAAATTTATTTTCTCATAGTCCTGGGGGCTGGAAGTCCCAGATTAAGGTCCAGCAGGGTCAGTTTGTGGTGCAGCCTCTCTTCCTGGCTTGCATACGATGCCTTCTTATTCTGTCCTCACATGGTGGAGAGAGAGCTTCTTTTCATAAGGACACTAATCCTATTGGATCAGGGCCCCACCATTATGACCTCATTTAATTTTACCTCCATAAAGGCCCTAACTCCAAATACAGTCACATTGAGGGCTAGTGCTTCAACATATGAATTTCAGAGGGACACAAGCATTCAATCCATAACATACTTACTCCCTTGTTTTCCATATTACAGATGAAAACACTTAGGCTTAGTGAGCTTAAGTAACTTGTTCAAGGTCACACAGCACCTAAGTTTTCAGAGCTGAAACTGGATCTCAGGACTGACCCATGATAGAGCCCCAATAACTAAGAATTGAAAAAAATACTGCTATTAGTTTTATACAAAGTCCATAGTAGGTACTTAATACGTAATTACAAATGTTATTTTCCTTTTAATGATTATCATTTTCATTTCAGGTGCAGAAGAAGGACCCCAAGGACTGGGCTGCTCAGTATCAGGAGGCAGTGGAGATGGAAGTCCAGGCTGCAGCTGTGGCTGTGGCTGAGGCTGAGGCCAGGGCTGAGGCAAGAGCCCAAATGGGGATTGGAGAGGAAGCTGTGGCTAGGCCCTGGAATTGGGATGACATGGATATCGATTGCCTACCAAGGGAAGAGTTAGCTGATGATGCTCAGGCCTGGAGCAGATTTTCATTTGAAACTGAGGCCAGAGCATAAGAAAATGCAGATGCCAGCACCAACATCAACTTCAGCAGAGGAGCTAGTACCAGGGATAGCTTCAGTGATGGTGCTAGTATTAGCTTCAGTGGTGCACCCAGCCCCAGTGGTGGCTTTGGTGGCAGAGCTGGCATTAGCTTTGGTGGCAAACCCAGCAGCAGTGCCAGCTTCAGCAGCACAGCGAGCATTTGTTTTGGTGGCACACCCAGCCCTAGCACTAGTTTCAGTGGTACAGCCGGCACCAGCTCTAGTTTCAGCAGTGAAGCCAGCATTAGCTTTGGTGGCATACCCTGTTCCAGTGACAGCTTCAGTGGTGGGGTCAACTCTAGTTTCAGTGGTCCACTTAATACTAGTACCAGTTTCAGTAGTGAAACCAGCTGTGGCTTTGGAGGCACACTCAGCACCACTGCTGGCTTCAGTGGTGCACTCATTACCAGCACCAGCTTTGGCGGTGCACCCAGCACCAGTGCAGTCTTTAGTGGTACACTTAGCACCAGCATTGGCTTTGGTGGCACACTCAGCACTAGTGTCTGCTTTGGTGGCTCTCCCAGCTTTGGTGGCATACTCAGTACCAATATCTGCTTTGGTGGCTCTCCTAGCACCAGCATTGGTTTTGATGGTGTACTCAGCACCAGTGTCTCCATCGGTGGCTCTTCCAGCACCAGCACTGACTTTGGCGGTACACTAAGCACCAGCATCTGCTTTGGTGGCTCTCCCAGAACTAGTGCCAGCTTTGGTGGTACACTCAGCACCAGTGTTGGCTTCAGTGGTGCACTCAACACCAGTTCTGGTTTTAGCGGTGCTGTCAGCACTAGCGCCAGTTTCAGTGGTGCACCCAGCACCAACTCTGGCTTTGCCAGTGTGTTCAGCACCAGCGCTGACTTCACTGGGGCACTTAGCACCCCTACTGACTTTGGCAGTGCTCCCAGCACCAGCATTGGCTTTGGTGGAGCTCCCAGCACCAGCCTCTGCTTTGGCAGTATGTCTAACACTAAGCTATGCTTTGGTGGCCCTCCTAGCACCAGCACCTGCTTTAGTGGTGCTACCAGTGCCAGTTTGGGTGATGGACCCAGCACCAGTGCTGGTTTCAGCTTTGGCAATGGGTTAAGCACCGATGCTGGATTTGGTGGCAGACTAAGCATCAGTGCTGGCTTTGGTGGTGGACTGATCTCCAGCAATGGCTTTGGTGGTGGACTGGGCACCAATGCTGGTTTTGGCAGCACACTTGGCACCCATGCTGGCTTTAGTGGTGGCCTCAGCATCAGTGATGGCTTTGGTGGTATGCCTAACACCAGCTTTGATGGAGGACTGAGTACCATCATTGGCTTTGGCAGTGGTTCCAACACCAGCACTGGCTTTACTGGTGAACCTAGCACCAGCACCAGCTTCAATGGTGGACCCAGTTCTATTGTTGGCTACAGTAGTGGACAGAGCATCAGTGCTGGCTTCAGCGGTGGACCAAGCAGTGGTGCTGGTTTTGGCAGTGGACTGAGCAATGGTGCTGGCTTTGGTGGTGGAGCCACCAGCCGTGGTGCCTGTAGCTTCTCCTATGGCTAGTGAGGTTTCAGATAATTACAACATTTCCACAGCCAAGGCCCATGGGGATGGGTATAAGATCTGGGAGATGTTATAAGAAACCCCAAGGCGGGAGGGCAGGGTGGGGAAATGAGATCAATGAAGGAAGTCTGAGAAAACAGTATATTTGGTGCTAAAACGTGTTCCTGTTTGGCGTTTTGTTTTCAAGTTTATTTCCCATGTTCACAGATACTGCTAATGAATTGCAGCAGTCCTTTCCACGGATCCAAGGTACATACTTGGAATCTTTGTCCACATAGCAGTCTAAGCACATACTACCAATCAGCTCAGAGTGACACTCTATGAAAAATCTGTTTCCCAATCCGGCTTTATTGTTTGCTTTTTGTGTGCTGTTGTATTTTGGTATCAGAGTTACATTAAATTTTCCAAATGAGGAATCTCCACACTGTTTTCCATAGTGGCTGCACCAGTTTGCACTCCCACCAGCAGTGTATGAGAGTTCCCTTCTCTCCACAAAGATTCCTCAAAAAATCAAGGATAGAACTACTATATGATCCAGCTATTCCACTGCTGGGTATTTATCCAAAGAACTTGAAAACACCAATGCGTAAAGATACATGCACCCCTGTGTTCATTGCAGTGTTATTCACAATAGCCAAGACTTGGAAGCAACCGAAGTGCCCATCAAGGGACGAATGGATAAATAAGATGTGGTATATATACACAATGGAATACTACTCAGCCATAAGAAATGACGAAATCCAGCCATTTGTGACAACATGGATGGACATTGAGGGTATTATGCGAAGTGAAATAAGTCAGAGGGAGAAGGTCAAATACCGTATGATTTCCTTCATTAAGTAGTAGATAATAACAAGAAACAAACACATAGAGACAGAGATTGGATTGGTGGTTACCAGAGGGGAAGGGGGGAGGGAGGAGGGCGAAAGGGATAATTCGGCACATGTGTGTGGTAATGGGTTGTAATTAGTATTTGGGTGGTGAACATGATGTAATCTATGCAGAAATAGAAGTATAATGGTGTACATCTGAAATTTATACAATGTTATAAACCAATGTTACTACAATAAACAAAAAATTAAAAAAAATTTTTTCCAAATGAATTAGAGTTTTTTCTATCTTTTAATATGCTTGGGTTGTTGTGAGTGACATTTTGGGTTCATAGAAGAGCTAGAGATCAGCATAGCTCTCTGGGGAAGGTGGGCTCAAGTTTTAGGCTAAAAAGGCAAGTATGACTTACAGTGGGATGGAGACCTAGGGGAAGCATGGCAGGCAAGGGAATAATAGCTAAAGCAAAGATATGGAAGGGGAAAGCCTCAAACAGACGGCAAAGGGAGGGTTCTGGACAGTAAGTATAGATTCATTTTGAGACATTTGTGTAAGAATGGAGGGATAGAGAGGGAGGTAACCAGAGGTTGACACGGGAACAAGGAAGTGTTTTCTTGGGATAGGAGAGAGACACCTGAGCATGTTACATAGACTGTGGGGGCAAAAACTAATAGAGGATAGGAGATAGATATGGAATAGTCAGGAATTGACTGAAGTACCCCATCCCTGAGAAGGTGGGATGGGATAGGATGCCAGAGAATATAGAGTGACCCTGACTTTGAACAGGATTTAAGGGTGGCTGTGGAAGCAGATAAATGTAAATTTGCTCCAAGCAGTGATCAGCAACCCTGTAGTAGATCCCAACAAAAAAGGTGATGTGGATTATCTAAGGTTTGGGTCTTGCTGGGTGGTTGTGATGGAAGGGCAAAGGAACAAAGGCAGTGAGTATATGAGTGTCTCTTCACCACTGGGTCACTGATACCTGCCCATAGTAGGTATGTAGAGAATGGCTAAAGAGATGGAACATAGAATCCAAGCTGGCTAGGGATGGAAGAACAATGAGGAGGAAGAGGGCTGATAGACTAGGAGATAATGGAGGAATCATTAAGCAGGCAGTAAGAAAAGTCTTTATTAAACAGAGAATAGGAATTAAGAAAGTTTGACACAGAGCTAGACAGTGCTCCTTGGTTGTAGCTAGAAATTGAGACCTGTTTTGAATTTGCTGAGGGGCCCTTCCAGTGTGGCCAAGTCTAGAGTCTTCTCAGGGTAGGAGAAGAGCAAGGATAGCAGCTCTTAAAGGTAGAAGACAGTGAGGACAGTGGCAGTTTAACCTCTTGGAAAGGCCTCAGTAGTGGGCAGGGACGGTGTCCAGGGCTTCCTCAGATTCTCGGGTGATGTCCACATTCTGAGAGGAGAAAGCCTGAGATTAATAGGAAGGAGACAGTACTGTGGAGCCCCAGCCCCTCCCCTGCCTCTTGCCCTCACTGCCAGGCTCCCCTCCTTCAGCCAGGCCTGGATCCTGACCCTTTTCTCAGGCAAGTCTCCGGGGAATCAGCCTGAGGCCTTTTTGGCAGGGGTTGCTCTAGCCCTGCGTCTCGTCTCTATGGTGCCTCGCTGGCGCCTGGGCTCTGGTTTGCTTTTCTGAGTGCTGGTTATTCTATCTATTGGTGCGAAACACCCAAGCTCTGTGGGACTGGGACAGCTTTTCCGTGGGGGAGGGTGCTTTCACCATGTGCCCCCTTAGATCACAGAATCCCTCACCTACCTCAGGCTTCTCCCGGTGTGTGTTTACGGCCTCCACGTTCAGGTAAATGGACTCCACTTTGCAGCCTCCGAAGAAAAACCATCCATCCTTAAGCCCCCAAGGTAAGCACAGGTCTCCCCTGAGGTGTCATTCCCTCCCTCACCCATCAAAACCCACACCCCTAGCTCCACACTGTGTGCAATTGTGACTGCCCTGTAGGGAGGGGAATTTGGACCAGCTCTGTGATGTATGGGGAGGACACCAGGCCTAAGAGGAGCCAACAGGGTGTTCTGCCAGCTCTGC